CAAATTACCAAAAAAAAAAAGTGGATTGGTCCTTATGCACTCATTTTTCGCCGGACCCATTCTCTTCAGCTGCCGTCTGCCATCTGTAGCCGCTCCAACACCATCGTCGGCCAATCAGTTCACGTTCTCTTCTAGATTTTAAATGTTCTAGATGACTGCGATTTCTCTATGTCGGAGTCCTCTCTGACATATTTCTGTTTTGTTCTAGTTAGATTCTTTAAGGCACCTGTGTGTGCGCTTCTCTCCTTCTTTCACCTGTGTGTTCTAGTTAGCCTGTCCTGTTGTATTTATTTCAAGTTCAATTGAATCTATCATTTTTAGAAAAAAAAACTATGATAAAAATTTCTAAGAAAATCTCATAAATTTCATCAAAGTCATTAAAATTTTACAAAGTCCTCCAAATTCACTCACTTTAAAATGTTTTGAAGAACTTCTAAAAACTCCAATTCAATACACACACTCCTTAAATACATTGCCAGCATAGATTAGCAAAAAGCAGTACAAAAAATTGTGAGATCTGACAACCCAATTTTTAATAGAAATTGATGTATCTCAAAAAGTAAGAACTAGAAAGGCATACGAAGGGAAACAAACATGAAGATCAAAAGAGTGCATCAACTATAAACAAGACCAACTAGTTTGTCAAAAATCTCTAACTAATCATATCAAAAATGATGAGAAACCTGCCCGCCCTTCGCAGATAGAGCAACCCGTTTTGACAGAGTGCCATTGGAGGTGATGCCGGTTCATAACCTCAACAGGTGTTTCGAGGGCTCGTCTTGCCGCCTGGGGATCGAAATACTTGACCGTAGCTAGAGTGGTAGACCAACGAAATCCAAGCTCCTCAACGGCCCCAAATTCCCCAACAACACCATTCACGTCGTCCATACTCGTCTCACCACTCAGATTGTGGACGTAAATTTTCCTACTCTCGTCCCGGGCCACCACTTCTAAAAGCTCCGCTACCTGATCGGGCAGAGAGCAGCCGGGCGCCGGGGAGAGGCTGCTGGGAAGCGACGGAGGGATTTGGCGGGAACGTCCGTAATTGAGTTTGCAGAGATCAAACAGTATGGGACAGTGATTTGCGGCGACCTCGGTGATGAGGAAGGACTTGACCGAGTCCGGCAGATACGCGACCTTTCTGGCAATCTGCCGCATCTGGCTGTCGGGGGAAGAAGGAAACGCCGGCGGGGGAGGGAGAGAGGTGTTTTCCTGTGCGGAGGGGAGTGTTTGAGCGGCGGCGGCGGCGTCTTGGTTAGGGTTTTCCATGGGATGATTTGCTTTCGCTCTTTCATCATATTCATATTTATTTGCCGTATATTTATTTTGGGGAAGAGCCACGTTACTCAAATACTCTTCTTTACCTTTATTTTGAACTTTAGATGATAATAGTAGGGGAAATTCCATGTTTGCTTCTTCGGTCAGGCCTCATTTACTAGTGTTGATGGGATATGATGGGATAAGATTAATTGTCCATTGAGTCAGCATTTGTGATTTTAAATGCTACCTTTTTTCTTTCCAATCCTATGTTTACTAACCTATTTTACATGATATGATAATTGATGGCATGCCAATTTTACCCTCCTTCTCTTCCACAAAAAATCGGATGATTGAACCAAACTCGTCGATCCCCCTTCAAAATCCCATCAACCTTTCTTGCCCTAAACTCATCTAGCCTAACAAAATCCGATCTGTGGAGCCCCAGAAAAAACAACGACGAATTGCAACAGATCGAGGACGAAGTCAGGCCCCTCCCCCTCCTCGACGAATTGTAACATACCGGAGTCAGGCCCCTCCCCTCCTCGCCTGCGCCGCCGTCGGCCTCCTCCTCCGATTCGCCGTCCCCAGGCCCTCAGCCGTCGAGCCCAAGGCTTGGTCCCTCCTCGCCATCTTCATCGCCACCGTCGCTGGGATCGTCCTCAGCCCCCTCCCTACCCACCACACCGCCCCCTCCTTCTGACGAAGATGAAGTTTGAAAAAAACGACGACGAATTGCAACACGAGATCGAGGACGAAGACGAAGCTTGTCGGAGCTAGACCTTTCTCTTTAACGCTGATTTGTGACGAACAAAGTGAAATTTAAGGAGGGCTCACAATGAATTGAAGGACTTAATGCAAGAAATTGGACAAAGCTCCTAAAAACAAGAACTGACTTCCAGAGAAGACGGATGCTCGGATCGACAAATTAGGGCAACGCGCAACTCGGTCGAAAGAAAGCAGCAGGAAGAATGTCAAGGATAAATATATATATTCCTGAATCTGCAAATTACTGGACATTTGAGGGCAGATTAGTATTTTTATCTGTGTTTTTTTGGACAAATTGGTCAATAAAGTTATGGATAAAAATATCAGGGGGTGATGGGCGGATGGAATTATCCGCAGAATCGGAGCCACGCGTGCGCAAGTGACTTGCCATGTCAGCAATATCCTTATACCATACATGTCTAGTAAACAAGTGATTAGGTTAGTTAAGCTAGTTATCCAATCCTGTCAAGCCTAGTAAAAGAGGCCTGGTCATAGTCAATTGAGAACTTTAATTTTAAGTTATTTTCAATTAAAAACACACTTTTACATGTTAATTATCATTTTAAGACTTCAACTAACTCTATATTTTTATGAAACTTTGTAAAACAAAAAATTATTATTTTGAAATTTATATTTTAAATAATTAATAATAACTAATTGTAAATATCTTTAGTAAAATTATCTAGAAAATTAATTCATTTAAACTACATGGATGCAATCATTCAATAGTTACGAAACTTAGTTTAAAGTTAAAATATTGAAAACTAAATTTAAATATGTATAATTTTAAATATTATTTTAATTGATATTATAAATATGTAATAAAATTAGAAAATAACTCTTAAATAAATTATTGTATTTTTTTCAAATTAATCTTATTGAAAATATTACTCGTATATAAAATTGTAATTTTGAAAATACTTACAAAAAAATTATTATTTATAGTAATATTATTTTGAAAATATATTATTTAAATACTATTTTCTTTATAATCTAAATATGATATTAAATTAAAACAATATGTAGAAAATTATTCTAACTTTTTTTAAGCTTGACTATGGATGATGTTTGGAACTATGAAATTTAGGAAATTTTATAAATGTTTTTATCAAAACGATAGAGGTTTTATAAATAAGCGCACAAATGTGCAAAGATACAGCCACTAGCTGAATGATACAACCATCGACTGAGAACTTGGGAGGACAGGTCCAAAGACCGCCTAGATCTTATTGGGATATAATGCATAAAAGTTAAGCCCTAGAATGGAATTTTCTGGATAATAATAGGGCAAGCATCATTTACACTCCATTATATACATATTTTTCTTTTACACAATGTCCAAAGTCACGAAATGATATGCGACATTATAATCGCACATCCAAATGAATCGTATAATCAGGAATTATGCGCGCTTTTGTCGCATATATACGAACACATATCCAATTAGAACGCATAGTAATTATGCGAAACACTTTTGCATATTTTGTAATCGCATATCTTAATCGACCGCATAATATACGATATGCAAAACAATTTCTCATATTTTATTATCGCACAATTAATCATTGTACCATCAATTTTGGCCTTCTTGTTTCGTAGCAAACTTACATAATATGCCCCTTCCTGTAGTGGCATGCATGTGCTTGATCAAATCCTTTTTGGTGTACTTTGGTATTACACAGGGAGAATAATACCTTTTGCATTTCGAGAAGAAAATCATCAAAGATTTGTCAGGACCTTAGGCCGAGCTGTATTCTCTGCATAAGCATATGAGATGAAGAATGAAATTGTGAGGGTCCTCAGCCAGCAAATGAAGTATTACTCAAAAATCCAAATGCTGATCGTATAAAGTGACTCATAGGTGAAATGCGACTAATGATTTGAAAGAAAGAATTAAAAACGATTTGCTTCTTTTTGTTGTTGAAACCTTTACGTCCAAGTCTTCGGTGGATAGTTTCCGAATGTCCCTTATGTTTACACGGATATAGTTTCCCCCATAGATGGTGAAAAGTGTTAGATATTCATAGTATGTTGCTTGTATAAAGATAAAGGAACAAAAATATTAAGCACAATTTGAAGCACAGAATGTTGTTGAGGTTATGAAGATCCAACATGCTTTTCACAACTATGAGATCTGCAAAAAGATGTTGTTGCTGCTGCTAGAGTACAATACAAGTTTATTATCTGGAAGATACACAAGGATTTCCTTAATATGCAGCTATTAAAATTCAGGTGAGTGGATATAAACAAGCTGCTTCCTTTTCATTTTCTTTTCAGATATTTGGGTGAATGATGTGGGACGAGAATGTTGAGCTATTGAGCATATGGTATGTATTATTACTCCTTTCTTTTTGTTCAGAGATTTGATTTTCAAATACAAGTACCTACAGGTAGTCCAGAAAATAGAACTAAAACGCTGTTGTTCTACTCATCCAGTCAGAAGTAAATTATCTGGATATAGAAGCTCACAGGGTTATATAACCAGAATAACTTTGATGTTATATGTGTGCTTGCTGGACAATTCAAGTAAATTAGAACATCAAATGTCTTAAACTCTAAAATGAAATGGCATCATATATGATATATGTAATTGTTCTGGAATATATATACCTATCTGCATTGAAATTAAAAAAGAAATACATTTGGCCATTAACTACATACCAAAATCAGCTGGGCACAGAAATCACAATCCTTCTACAGAGAGGGCAAATGTTTCTTCTTGGGAGCCATCTCCTAAGGCAGCAAGTGTGAAACTTATGTCCACAACCTTCGACTATTGTCACCATATCCTCCTTCCCACATACATTGTCCAGACAAATTGCACACACAGTTTTCTCATCACCCACAATAATACTACTCCTTATCTCCAGGTATTTCGAAATTTCTTCCTCTTGCAGGCCACTTGTGGGACCCACTTGTGGATTTCGTAAGCGGGAGCCTAAGCTGAGTATTGCCGAGACATCTATTCTTGCAAAGTCGGCCTCTGTTAAGACACGTCCTGTATAAAGTCGAGGCATCCGTACGATAGTCGCTCCATTCAATTGAAATATAGTGTCGGGTTCAAATTGTTCGATTGGGCTAAGGCGCGATTGGGCCATTGCTCCTGTTTCATCAAGTGCAGGCGTTAGGGTTTCGAAATCTGCTGAAAAGCTAGAGTCCAAGTTCATCATATCAAGTTATCAACCTCTTCCTCCGTCAAATCCATTATTCTGCAGATATATTCCTTATATACACAAAGGTAAATGTCTGGCTAGTATAGAATCATGTACTCACACACAAAAATCGTAGAACGATAGAAACATGTATTCACACACATATGACTGTATCCAAAACCAATAATTATAGCAACGAGGATCATCGATTTTCAATTTTCTAGACAGAAAAGAAGAAACGCGTACAGTAAGGATTCTTACCAACGAATTGATTGAGCGAATGTGCGAGCGAGCGAGTGCGACGATAGGGATGAGGGTTTGGCTTGTGAATTTTTAGTGGCTTCTGAATTTTTTTAGTGGCTCTATACTGTATCCAAAACCAATAATTATAGCAACGAGGATCATCGATTTTCAAATTTCTAGACAGAAAAGAAGAAACGCATTCAAGTAAGGATTCTTACCAACGAATTGATTGAGCGAATGAGCGAGCGAGTGCGCCGACAGGGATGAGGGATTGGCTTAGGGAATTTTTTAGACTATATTTGGTACACCAAGTTATAGTTTATTTGATTAATTTATAAGTTCTATATATTTAAATAAGCTCTATTTGATAGGACAAGTTTATTTAACAAGCTCGAACTTATTTGATAAGCTTCTTTTAGTAGCTTTTTAAATAAGTTCGTTGAAATTTTTATTTCAGCTAGCTTATTAGCTAATTTTACTAAACACTTTTATCATATAATTTAGTTTTTCAGCTATAAGTCATAAGCTATAACCTATAAGCTCGAAAATTAATAATAAGCTATAAACTAACTTATTAGCTAAGTTTACCAAACATAGCTTAAGTAGCTCTATATCTTTGCCTTTTTCTTTTGGGTGTTATTTATACTGGTATGAGTGTGCGACAATATGAAGGAAATACACGGGTAAACTAATATATTATTTTAAATTTTGATAAATAATTTATAGATAAAATCAAATATAATTATACAAAATATATAACAAAATAATATGGATGAAGCAAAAATTTGATAAGTGAGATAATATACTTGTTATAAAAAGAAGATAATAAATATATATTTATATAGAATGATTTAAATATTTTGAATATGCATATTTATGACGGCCTAAACTTAAATCATTTGGTAGGAAAAACTTAACTTTTGGTACTTCAATTATACCAGTTTTTCACTTTCAGTATTTCATGTATTTATTTAATCAATTTCGGTACACAATATTTGCTTTGTAAGCAGTCCAAATCGTTAAGGGCTTGATTGTTTATGAATTATTTCATTCTCATTTATTTCATACTCAAAATCTAACTCAACTTTAACTCAACACCACTATCTTTAATATTATTCATATAATTAAATAATACAAACCAATCATTCTTATACATCACATCAACTTCAATTCACTATTCATTCACTCACATAATTTTAACTACCAATCATTTCCAATCATTTATCTCCCATTTTTACATCAAATCAATTTTAATCATTTTATTTTAAATATTATTATAATACATTCTTAAAATTCCACTAACTAACCATACCACTTTTTTCAAAATTAACTATGGTTAACAAAAATAATTCTTTTTGAACAAATTATTTCATAAACAATCACCCCCTAAAATTCTATAATAGCATTACCGAAAATTTTGTCAGTATACTTATCACAATTGTTCAAACTTGACGAAAAACAAGAAAATATAAATGTATATATTCTCAAAAGAAAAGAAATATATATCAACACAAAATGTCAATGCGTATATACAATTTAAGTATTTTTATTTGATATTAATATATACTAGTGCAATACCCGAGTATTACACGGGTGTTGAATTAGAAAGTTTTTGTAAAAAATATTATTTTTTTATTTTTTAAAAATTAAAATAATTTAATTTTATATAAAACACTACTTTGAGTTTTAATTAAATTGTCAAATTATATTTTTTTAATCATAATAAGTAAACACCTGTACATTAAATAAAAATGTCAACCCGTGTTGAATTTGTTTACTTATATCATATAATAATATCGATATTATTTACTATTACATAAGCAAAAAAATATATATCTTAAGTAAATAGAAATATTATGGTGATATGTATATGCATAAGTGTAGAATATGTTTATTTAATATTATGAAAAATATTAATTGATAAATAATTTTATTTTCTAATTAATTGTAATAAATAATTTTATTATTATTATAAAGATAAATATAATTTATTTATTTTATATATACAATATGTATATGAAAATGTCAACCCGTGTTGAATTTTTTTACTTATATCATAATAATATCGATATTATTTACTATTACATAAGTACAAAAATATATATCTTAAGTAAATAGAAATATTATGGTGATATGTATATGCATAAGTGTAGAATATGTTTATTTAATATTAAGCAAAATATTAATTGATAAATAATTTTATTTTCTAATTAATTTTAATAGATAATTTTATTATTATTATAAAGATAAATATAATTTATTTATTTTATATATACAATATGGATGTCAAATCGAAGCTCATCAAAAGATGATTAATTTGATATATTATATATGTAAAACCGATAAGAAATACAAAAGTTATCAACTTTTAAAATATATTTGCAATTCAATGGTTATAATATGAAATGATATTAAAATACAATTAATACAAATATTAATTTATATCCAAGCCTAACTCCAAAGCATGATTTTTTGCCAAATAAGATTCCAAAGCATGAGAATTTGCCACGTAGGCTCAGCGCATTCTGAAATTATATATAGAGGGGATAATTTACTTTTTTTTGTTTGATATATATGTAGACATGGAAATTTTAATATTTTATTAATTAATGTCTTTATTTATTTTGGGACATAAATCAAAGATAAATAAGATATTTAATTAACAAAGTAAATATTTCTTGTCCACCAAGTCAAATCTTATGATAAGAAAAGAGATCTTAGGATAAGGAAAGAGATTATATCAAATCTTAAGATAAAGAAAGAGATTATATCAAATCATGAAGGACCAGTGAAATTAACGTCTTATCCTCCAAGACTCTCTCCTAGACCTATAAATAGGGCTCTCCTCAATGCCACAAATCACACGTCAAAAAATCCAACACCTCATAAATAAAAGTCTCAATTCAAAGAGCTCTCAATAATTCTATTGAAGATCCAAACGTGTTCTTGAAGATCCATGACATTCAAGTTAAAGATTATACCCGCATATCGTTTGATCAATATATATTCAAGTTGTACAAAAGTTTTATGTTTTTCATAAGATTTGTTGTTACAAATTTGGCACGCCCAGTGGGACATGCTCTACCTCTCATCTTTTCTCTTCAAATCAAGTTCAAGATTTGTGAAGATGCATGAAAACCTCTTTGAAGAAAATGTACACGGGGGCAGCGAAGGATGATGTCTCCCCAAGCCATGAAGCTGTAAAAAATCATCGTGTTCATCAAACATTCGAATGGAGGAAACAAAAATGGTCTTCCATATACGTCTCAAATTCCGTGGGGGCAATTTACATGAAGAGCTCCATTAAATCCTCAAATACAATGCTTATGAGCTTAAAATATCTACAATGCTCCTTGATATGAGCCTAAACTATCTACATATTCAAATGCTCCTAGATATGAGCCTAAACCATCTACATATTCAAATGTTCCTTGATATGAGCCTAAACTATAGCCTAAACTATCTACATATTCAAATGCTCCTTGATATGAGCCTAAACCATCTACATATTCAAATGCTCCTTGACAAGAGTCTAAACTATCTATAACTTCAAATGCTCCTTGATATGAGCTTAAACTATCTACAATGCTCCTTGATACGAGCTTAAACTATCTATCATATCAAAATCTCCTTGACACGAGATGAAAAAGGTCTACATATCAAACTTGAGGGCTCATTGACACGAGCATAAAATGTCTACATATCAAGATCTCCTTGACACGAGAATAAAAGGTCTACATATCAAACTTGAAGGCTCCTTGACACGAGAATAAAATGTCTACATATCAAGATCTCTTTGACACGAGAATAAAAGGTCTACATATCAAACTTGAAGGCTCCTTGACACGAGCATAAAAATGTCTATATATCAAGATCTCCTTGACACGAGCATAAAATGTCTACATTTTTTAAAACTCCTTGATACAAATATAAACTATTTGTCAAATCAAATCAAGACTCATTGATACGAGTTTAAACTATCTACAAATCATATCAAATGAAGAACTCCTTGATACGAGTATAAAATGTCAACAAATCAAGTTAAATGAAGAACTCCTTGATACCAGCATAAATTATCTACAAATCAAATCAAATCAAGAACTCGTTGATACGAGTTTAAACTATTTTCATGTCTCAACTAAGGTTGTCAAAACCGGACCGATCATCTAACCGGTGAAACTACTGGTTCAATGGTTCACTAGTCAGACCAGTGGTCGAACCGGTTTAATTAATATATAATTTTTTATTTATTTTATATGTACATTATATAATTTTTTTAATGTATAATAACATATATCTAAATTAGAGTTCAATAATTGCTAACATATTTATGTTTTACCATACTAATATATATCAAATTATATTTACCTACACCTAAGGTTTATAATTTTAATTTTTAAATTATATTTATTTATTTTTTCTTTTCAATTTTCTAGATTTAGATATTCTATTTATATGTGTGTGTTCAAATTTGTTATTTATTATATTTATTAAAAAACAATTCAATTATTGTATGAAGAGGATGAGAGATAGGGAAAGGGAGAAAAATAAAAATAAAGATGAGAGAAACTGAAAAATTGAGAATCAAACCTGGGTCAACCTACAACCGAAGTGTGAAGTGTAATAGCAACTTAGCAGACCAAATAGTATACTAAATTGTTTCACATTTGGCACAATACAAATATCAACTTCTAAAGTCTAAAATAAAAAAATAACCGTTACCGGTTTTCCGGTTTTGAACCGGTTCGACTGGTTCTTAACCGGTTCTTGTGCCCAGCGGTTCAAATGCTCAAATCGGACCGGTGTTATGACCGGTTCCCTGTTGAACCGGTCGAACCGACTGGTCCGGTCCGGTTTTGACAACTATGGTCTCAACTAAATCCAAAATTTTGAGACTCATTCACTACCAAGACATTTTGTCCGTGAATAAGTCTCAAGGGGCATTTGTAGACATTGAAATTTTAATATTTTATTAATTAATGTCTTTATTTGTTTTGGGACATAAATCCAAGATAAATAAGATATTTAATTAATCAAGTAAATATTTCTTATCCACCAAGTCAAATCTTAGGATAAGTAAGGAAAGAGATTATATCAAATCTTAGGATAAGGAAAGAGATATATCAAATCATTAAGGACCAGTCAAATTGATGTCTTAATTCAAAGAGCTCTCAATAATTATTTTGAAGATCCAAACATAAATCACACCTCAAAAAATCCAACACCTCATAAATCAAAGTCTTAATTCAAAGAGCTTCAAAGTCTTAATTCAAAGAGCTCTCAATAATTCTCTTGAAGATCCAAAAGTGTTCTTGTAGATCCACGACATTCAAGATAAAGATCCAAGAAGAGACATTCAAGTTAAATATTCAAAAAGAGAAGAATCAGAGGGTTATTGTACCCGCATATCGTTTGATCAATATACATTTAAGTTGTACAAAAATTTTATGTTTTTCATAAGATTAGTTTAGTGGAATTTATATTTGTTGAGATCTTGGACTGATCTTGTGAGAGTGGGGGCCGGGATTATGTTTGCGGTGGATATATTTGCTTCATATTACTTGCAAATTTTTATTTCATTTTTTTATTTTTATTTTTTGTGGCATTCTCAGAAAGTTATTCAATTGCGCCATGATTGATATTCTTTAAAATAATGATAAATATCTACTAGGGCTCAGTCTATTGGCAGCATTCAGGTCAAATTTTCTTGAAGAGTACTAATTTTTTAGTAGGGACTTTGGTAAAAATTTCTTGAAGATATATACTAAGTTTAGTAGGGCTTTGGTGGGATCTTCACAGACAAAAGGATTGCAGTCTATTGCGTAACTTTGAGGAATTCATGGAATATGATGAAACATGGATCTGTTCTTTCTTATTGGAATGCAAGGAATTTGATGTGCAAAATAGACCTTATTGTGTCTTTGGTCGTAAGTTCATGTATAAAAAATACAGGTCGGAAAAAAAAAAGGGAGAGAGGTCTCTCCATCTTTTTTGGTGTTCTTTTTTGGTGTTTGTATTAAATGTGAAGTGCTAATTCCATCAAAGAGAACAAAATGCTTATGGGATTAATGACCACCACAAAAAAAAAAGTCGAAATCCGAACTTCAACCAAACATTCCCCTCCCCAAAACCCAATCCTGAATCAAAACCTGAGAATTCAAAGGCTGATCAGTCGGCACAAGATGGCCGGCATTCATCACCACAGCATGACTAAAACCCTTCCATCTCTGCACATATCCCGCCAAATTCCCATCGACCCTCCAAACTTCCCTTTTTGCCCTCAGAAACTCACCGACTTCATCCCAATGCATCTTCTCCACCCAAGCCAGAGTCGAAAACACGCCGTCCCTCAAATCACACTGCCCCTGATACAACAACATCTTAATCCCCTTTCTAACCAAAAACTCCACCATTCCCCTCACGCTCTTCATCACGTCCTCGTGCAACGCGCTCGCCACAGCCGGACTGCACAGCTCGAACTCAATTGACGGATTTGCCCCCAACGCCTTTTTCACCCCTGCATCATTCAAAAACCTAGCCACAACCCGGTTCGGGTACCGGCTCAGCCTCCTGAAATCGTACAGCGTGGCTAAACCGGTCATATTGGTCAGCGTGTCCAGAACACGCGCCCTCGCGTTAGACGCCTCGTTCCATCTCCGGTTCCCTACGAATCCAACCGTCTCCAATTGAATTTCCTCCAAACGACTCATTTGTTCTCTGTTGATTAACCCGAGATTGTAGCAATTCGAGGCATGAGTCAGGACTTGGGTCTCGGGATCGGTTAAACCATTCCCGATTGCAATTCCGGCGAAATTGAAACTCCTCTTGGCGTTTTTTCTCGTCACGATGTGATATCCGAGAGCTGGGAGATATTTCCCGGCGTAGCTCTCGCCGGTGATATAGATCGGCCGGTTTCGAAATTTCCGATCGAGGAGGGATATGAATTTTTCAATTGCCGTAAGGAGGTGTTCGGCGACGTCGTTTTGGTTTCTAGGGATTTCTTGTTGGGAGGCGGCTACGCTGAATCCGGTGCCTATGGGATTGTCGAGAAAGAGGAGGCCGAAGATTTTGTTCCAGGAATATGGGTTGGGCTGAAGGGAGATGTTTTGGTCGAGTAGCCACGGGCCGAGCTCGAAGTAATTGGCGAGCATTGAAGAGCAGCCCGGCCCGCCTTGGAGCCATATGAGGATTGGGGTTTTGGGGGTTGTGGGAAGTGTTTGGGATTCGTAGTATGTGTAGAAAATGGCTGAGCCGGAGGTGGAGTTGACGGTTAGGTAGCCGGATTTGGTGGGGAGGGCCTTTTTTGGGTAAGAAAGTGATGACGTGGCGGCGGTGGAGAGGTGGAGGACGGCGGAGATGATGAGGAGAAGGAAGAGGAGGAATGGTGGTGGGGAGTTCATGGTTTTGGAGATTTGTGTTCAGTGTTTTTGGAGTAGAAGTGATTGTGTTAGCTTTATAGGAGGTACCATAAGTGCAATATTTCACTTTTCTTGTTATTTTTTAGTTGGGGGCTTTGTCTTTTCTACCTTTGTGGAAACTTTTGACTTTTCCATGTCCGACACNGGTGGGCTGTTTCTAACTGTATTTGGGTGGTTGTGGAAAATCTGTCTGTATAGGTGGGTTGAATAAAATTATATATTTGAAAAATTTTGTCAACTTCAAAAAATTCATATAATAATTTGGAAAATATTTATTTTAGAGAAAGTGGGAAAATTTTAAGGTTAGAGTTCCGGCCAAGGTTCAGAATTTCTTCCAAGAATATGTTCTTGAATTCATTCTGACATGTGAGTAAAACTAAAATTGGAGAACAATATGTTTCTATTTATTTTTTGTTTCTTGGTATGCTGGAGCTCTTTTAATTCCAAAAATCGTAGAGTTGCCTCATGAAGAGTTAGTTTCACGTACGGATAAAATAATACTATGTTGATTTGGTTTACTTCATAGCCATATTAATTTCTATGCTATTGGATTAGATGAGAAAGGCATTGTATAGAAAAAAGATTGCTTTTCCTCAATGAAATGAAAATTGGAAAATTGTTGGAGTTGTAGAATTGAATCATATAGGGTCTGACAGGAGAGATAGATCTTCCAAATAACATGAACTTTAAGAGAATTATTCCAAGTTCTTGGGTGAGTAATATTTTTATTGAAAATATATAATACTGATTACCTCTTATTTTTTAGTAGTGTTAGACTGTTAGCTAGATTGAAAAGAGAGAGAGGTAAAAGAAATAGTATTTTATGAAAAATAAAAATATTTAATTTTCATTTTGAGTGAGATAAATTTTAACTAAATAAATAAAAATAAAAATAAACAACATCGTTGGATTTGCGAATTTAATTGATAATTCAAAATTAGGTCTTTATTAAGGGACAGTTCTTTATAAATCCCTAAACCTCTTTTACTTTTCTATTAAAAAAAAAATTAGATGTCTATTAAATTTGATTAAAACTCCTTTTTTTCTCTTGTTGGAGAAAAATACTACCCTAAATCATGATGATCATTTTTATTGAAAGACAAAAGAAAAACAAAGAAATAACGAGTTCTCTACATTTACGTCATTACGTGTGTGAATGATGTAGTGTACACTATGGTTGACCTTTGACGGATAGCGTCAGTTCACATGGTTTCATTATTTAAAACTTGAATATTGTGAACCAAAATCATTGATTTCTATACAGACTCGAGAGTTATATACCAAAGTTTTGCTTTCATTTGAATTTTTTTCTATTTTAAAATGAATAAATAAGTTTAGTCATGTGCTTATATTTTATTTATAAATCTAATAATACAACTTGTTCATTTATTTTATATTATAAATATATTGTATTCTACTAAAGATCATATTATCAATCTTTTATAAAATATATATAAATATAGTTAACAGAGGACTAAGAGTTAGATTATAATTTTATCCTTGCACCAAAGCTATATGTCGATGCCCAAACTAACAAGACAATCAACAAAGAAGTTGACTGCTGACCAAATTTATGATTAGGAGCTCATTTTATAAACAAACAAAAATAATCAAACCATTGTACTATTAGTGAAGGAGTGCTACATGTTAATCAATCCCTAGACATGAGGGATCGAGATTATTGTTCACTTGTTATTAAACTACATGGTGTTGTACTCGTACAGGCATCATTTATTAATATAACTATATAAAAAATTAGGGAGTGATTGTTTATTATTTCAACTCAAAACAAAAAAAAAAATCAATCAAAACTCAAATTTAACTCAACTCCACTATCTTCAATGTTATCAATATAATTAAACAATATCAACCAATCATTCTTACACATCACATCAACTTTAATTCACTATTCACCTACTCACATAATTTTAACTAACCATCACTTCTAATCATTTTTCTCTTACTTTATATCAAATCAACTTTAATTATTTTATTTAAATTTTATTTTAATATATCTACTAACAACTAACCATATCACATTTTCAAAATTAACTCTAATTAAAAAACAAACCAAATAAAAATTAATTGAATCCATAAACAATCACCCCCTTGGTAATTCCGAATTTGATATGAAGTTGGAAGTTGGAACGACTATCTTGAATGTAATTACTAACATAGACATTCACTCTTTCCGGCCCCTATAAAGATATCGATCTTTGTCAAGCGACATAACAAGTAGAAGAGTTGGCTATCGCGTTATAATTTTTTGAATAAATATATTTATTTATACTGTTAAATGTCATATTAGTTTAGATAAATTTTTAAAATACAATGTTTCAATATATATCGATTGAAAAACATTATTGTCTAATGTTGGTCAATCTAAACACTAGCTGTATCGAAATACAATACAATGTGATATTTGAAGTTATTAAACATAATACTCTTTTAGATAATTAGACTATATTTCAAGTACTAATTTTGACCTTTAAACTAGTCATCACTATCACAAGGATGAGAGTTTCAACTTTTGTAATGGGACCATTCATTTTTCAACTAAAGGCTGCATCCCATCCCACTACATGTGAAGGTGGGTGGGACAATTTGGATTGGGGTTGAGAATTTAAGTGAACAATGAATGTGATAAGACTTATATTGGTTGTGGGAATGAAGCATGATTAAGTCTTGTAAGGCAAGCGAAAATGCAAATAATTGCGAGGAGTTCATATGTAATGAGGGACCAAATGGTGTGTACAGTTACAAGAGTGTTTCCCAGTGACTTGTTACAAAGGGAATTTGGTTTGAGTTTTATATTCTCTAGGTTGAATTGGCCATCAATCATCATGTTTATACTTACAAAATCTATTATTAGCCGGCTTAACAGTTAGACAAAATCAATTATATCATTATTTTTAAGCATAAGTATTTAAAAATGTCTGCTTTTGTTTATAGTATTTTTAAAGTACTCAATTTTGATATAAAATTATTTACATTTATTAAAAGGATTGTGACTTTTCAAAAGTTTCAAGAGCTCATCGATTATGTACAAGTATTTAAGGAATGGGATTTATTCCTTACATAATCAAATATAGGGAGTCTATCCGTCTAACTATTAGTTCACCACAATTATGTAAGGATGGGGATTTATTCATTACATAATCAAATATAAGGAGTCTATCCGTCTAACTATTAGTTCACCATCGTGAAGGGTTGTAATTGCTATCTTATTAAGTTCAGCTACTCTGATATCGAATTCACTTCTGTTTCTTTTGATAACCTGATAATTATATTTGTGACCTTAGGAGATCAAATCTACGAATTATGAAAGGGAGGCATAAATGCATAATCAAATAAAGGGAGGGAGGGTGCATTTGGAATTTTCCATAAACACAAAGAATCAACTAAAGCACCGCTAGTGTTTTTCATCTTGTTCAGTGTTGAAAACAAAATTATAACACTAAATGCGTCTACTTGCAACTCATTACAGCAGTCTTGAAACAACGCAATGTACATTTCCTTGCCAGTTCAATAAGAAAAAGAGCATTAAACCACAAAATTCGGCCACAAAAGGTCCCTAAAATACTTTCCATGTTACAGCAACATACAACTGCCTGAGATATAACACTGCGCGCAAGACAAGATTGTTGTCCTATCTGTATCGCATTAAAATTCCAACTATCAACATAAGCAGGGGAAAAAACACTTGTATTAGCAAACGGCTAAAGTTATGGAAGTCTTACAATGCTGACAAATTACTCAGCTGAAATCATGACAAGCCTAAATAAGGAAAAACCCTACACCCAAAAGTCTCCAGCATCCTTGCAGACCAGTACTGTACAGTATCGTCTCCCAATATTTTAGGAGTTTCTTCATTCTTTTATTGTTCTTTCGTCAGCTCCTTTCCATTTTTGTCGAGTTCTCCACAAAAAAAAAGATCTGGCAATGCATGCTATAAGCTCCATAAAAAGCAATTGGGAGGGGTCACCTATCTTTCCAAATGCAGAAATTTATGTGTTTTCACCCCTTAGAAAAATATAACTCAAGATCCATTGACAGCCATTTCAGGTGATGAATTTGTTGGCAACAGAGGGCATTCGTCTCCATTTATCCTATTATCATCTGACTCATCAAATTTGTCAGTGAAGCTTCTAGAAACTTCTACCTTGTTGGTGGGGTCCACTTTATCTGCATTCTCGGATGGACCAACAGCTTTCTTCTCTCCGTCATCTGGTTTGACTGAGTTCTGGTTTGTGTTTGGGAGTGCATTGCTGAGTGCTGTGGTTGCTATTTTCTTGTTAGGCAGTACAGCCTCACTTAAGGTGGAACACAAAGCAGCAAAAACACCACCTCCTCTCGGTTTTAAGCCACCTTTTGCGGAAAGTTGTATTCTTTTTGGCTCAGGCTCCTCCTTCGAGACTAATTTACGTTTCAACCTGAAATCTGTCAATCCCTCATCTTCATCAGATACGTCTTTCATCTTTTTGGGAGGGGGCTTCCAATCCTCGTCATCTTCATCATCGTCGTAATCAACAAGTCCACCAGACCTTCAATTATTGATGTAAAATTAAGCTCAACATATTCATTCAAAGACAAAAAAAGGCAAGAAAAAACTTTGTCTATCATTTTCCAAAAAGATAAGGAAATAAAAAGCAACAGAGAAATTACAACTACCGTTGGATATGCATCTTTTTTTTTTTAATTCTATTCTAGTGAAAATTTGTTTGAGTTGCAAACTGTAAACCTAAAAGCAGTTTTAACAACATAGGGCGAAATCTGTAATTTTGGTAAATAACTGTGTTTTCTTTCTCTAATTAGATCAAAACTCAGGTGGTTTTTGTTATTATTTCAGATATAAACTAACGAGTCAGTCAAGCAGAACACTACCTGGGTGACGCTTTGTACACTGGAGCCCCGTTGACTAACACTGGAAGCTGAGACAGGCGTCTGTTACTGCCCGTTTGTGCAGATGCTGAATCTTCTTCATCACTGGTAAGGTCGTTTGTTAGTTAACAACGATGGTGCAAAGAGGAACTATCGAATAAAAATTGGCCAACGAGAGTAAAAAGAATTTTTTTTACAAAGAGAAGTTCAGATCATTCAGCAGTATTTCTAACAATAAAAATCCACCTGTCCTCGTTAAAATAATTTTCCTCTTCTTTCTCCAAAGCGCGTTCATCAAGTCGTTTCCGTTGGTCTAATAAACTAGCAGTGCTTGTTGTGCCGATGCTTTCGAGCGACTGAAATCATAATATGTTAATTGTGCACAAAAGAATGAGGTAACAGATAAAGAGTAATAATATATAAAAAGTACCTGTTCATATTTAACTTTGAGAGCCTGAATAGAGGATAAACTTTCAAATTTAGCCAATTGATCCCAGAAAGTATCAACCAGATATCGGATCAAGACTTTCAAGTTCTCCTGCAGAAGACAGACATGTTTCAAAAGGAAATCTTCAGAAAAGGCGTGAATCTTATGATGCAACAAAAATATGCTGCGGATACACACACCTTCCGTATAAATTCAATGAGGTCAAGAACTGCAGAATTTAGAAGATTGTAACGATCCCCATTGGCAACAAATGCATCTATAATTGGTTTCAGAACATTGTTCTTTGCTAGATGTTTCAACAGGTGTTCATCCTGCAAATATTATGAACCAACAGATGACAAAATAGTAAATACCAGAAAATCAGAAATGTGAGATAATGTCTGCCATTGATTGGAGATTTTACATATCAGATTCACAATAATGAATGCAATACAATCAACTTACACTGCGAGAAACAAGTGCCCGAACAAATCTTACAGCAGCAACTACAAGATACTTCTCTCTTCTTCTCGTCAAATATAAAACCTTATCGATTACACTGTTAAGTAGAAAATTGCATCTGCAGAATGAAAATGTGGAATAAATTAGGAAGTAAATTCTGCATTAAGAGGCAGTAAACTAGTCACAGCGAGAATATGACTTTACTTTATCCTGAAAGGGTGTTGCAAAACGCAGAAGCATAGCAGGTCACAAATGTTCAATAATATCTCAGGTTTCACATCACTTTGACTCCTGGATTCTCCATCCGAGCTCCCAGAACTGCCCCCAATTTGACCATGTTGGTTTGCACCGCATGACGATGTTATTGTGTCAATTAATTGACCCAAGTGCTTCTCGTAGAAAATCTCCACTATGTTTTCTCTCTGCAATTAAATTGAGATTCATGCACATGACTGTGATAGTGTATATTTATGAAGCCACAGATGCAACATTAACCCCAAAAACATCAAAACAACATATGAACGTTCAATCCCACAAGCAGTTGGTGGTCAGAGGAACACTAGGAAAAGTACGACAGAATATTGTCAAATAACATGTGCATAATAGTATTTTTCACATAGCAATCTTGTATGATCCTTATTTTGAGCAAAATTATAAGCTACGACATGCTTATAGGTGATCTCTCATGTATGTTACTTGACCATGGAGCGACATTTGACAAGAAAGACGCATTGTTTGACAGATGGAATATAATATCAGTGAAATACAATATCACAAAACCACTTGTACTACTAATATACCGGTGGTCCAGGTCCTGGTGTAGGTGCTTCCAGAAGACTGCGAAGAATTTCAACAAATTGCCAGTGCATGTCGTCTCCAAAATCCGTGAGCATATTTTTAACCTGCAAGTCAAGGATAAATTTTACTTCCTTACAAGACTGAAATGATTCTGAAAAAGTCCTTGGACAATTTCCACTAACCCAGACCTCAGCTCGGGTGGGGAAGTAAATATGCAGATGAACAAATATAACAAAATTATAATACACCACCCCCCTCCCCAAAAAGAAAAAGAAAAAAGAAACAAAGGACAAAGAAAAAGAAAAAGGAAGCATGAATTCCATCCATATTGATAATCATCTCATGACCCCACTGGCTTCACGAATACTTTTAAGTTCACAGTGAATGTTCCAAGGTGTTGCACCACAGCCAATGTTAGTGTTATCAATTGGGGATGGCAGAAAATGACGACAAGCTGAAATCTCACCATGGCAGCCTGTGGCGTCGACATAACCACCATCGGTCACAAATTTCTAATGGCAGTTACGCACAAATCCACCACACCATACCTCCATGGCGACAATATGACAACCCCAGACATTTTTACAAGCAATTCAGCATATGATCAGAGTTTACCCAATATCCTTTATGCTTAGAAGTTCAGATAAAAGACGAGTTCAGCCAAGATTGTCTTCAATGAGACCTCGGACATGACTCCAGGTGTCCTCTATTTGTTTATCGTAATTCATTTACTATGTCATACACCCACTTCTACCTTAACTTAAAAGCAAGGGGGTATACCCGACAAGCAGATACATCATTCCCACTGGAAAGAATGGCAGGAGGAAGCAGGTTAGTTATATGTAAATCTAAAAACTTGGATCGTTTTCCCTTGACCTTTCGACAATATTTTTTATATATTCAACCCCAGCATATGATGAAGGGAGTCTGCTCAACTAGCTGCCTGAAGGAGTTGCCAAACTTAATCATCAATTTGCAGACTTTCAACTAGAACATTGTATGCAGGAGAAGGCTGCTTCCAAATCATAAAGATACAAAATTCAACTTTGCTCACCAGAAGTCCAAAAAGATCACCTTCCTGCCTAGCCACATAAGCACGCAAAATATTTGAATCAAGATTCTGGAAAAGAGTAAGGATGTCTGTCCTGCAACCATTACGAAAAAAACAATAAATGAAGTGATCACAACTAAACTGAACCACAAACAAATGGTAGATGAGATTTAGTTGCTCATGTCCAGCCAGACATATTGCAAGTTCAATTTTGTTACCCTGTCAAAACAAGCCTTTTGTCTTCACTCCGCAGAACATCTTCTAGGATATCAAAAATGCCTTCACTGACGAGATCCCTGCATTAGTAGACATCATATAGGACAGACTGAATTACCAAACCACAAGAAAATTTTTTAGAATGTTTGATGTGGATAGTTGGAACAATATTATAGATTATATAGATCATGTAAATCACAAAAAGGAAACAGATGCATCAGCCAAGTACCTAAATAGCCGATGCTGATGCACCATCTGCAAGCTTTTACTTAAGGTACAGAACTCATGCAAAAAGCATACCTGTATTAAAAGGTCAATGTTAGTTTCTTAGTCAATATTCTAAATTAGCAAATAAGATCATCCTTCTCCACTCAAAATAATATTATACTGAGCAGTGGAACAAAAAAACTAAAAAACTTTGATAGTGGAAGGATCAGCAAATAAACAGTAACATCATTAACACTTCAAAAAACAGCCTAAAGACGTTCTTTTATCTGAATGTTCCCTTCATGTAGAAGATAAAGGGAAGGAAGAATAAGATCTAGGAAATATAGGATTACAAGAATCACAAGTATATGTGCTCTCCAGTTAACATAAACATACTCATATATATTCACATATTGAGAGCAATAAAAAGTATGCATGTCATACTTAAGGATTCCACAATGTGAACACAGCACTTAGTAAGCAAGCAATGGAAGCAAACATTTCTACATCCACAAACCCATCCAGCTTGGAAAGCACTGTAAGGAACACATATAGAAATGAAAATGGTAGTGTATTCCACAGACAACATAAAAAATCTCATGGCAGTAAGAACTTCTATAACCATTACTAATTCACAAACATGACAGTCGGCCATACATCCATTGTTTTCACAAATCATTTATAAAATCATTGGGAGTCCATATCGAAAGTGATTTATCACAAGGTTATCAGTTCATCCAGAAAATAAATCACAAAAGTAGAATATTGAAGGACAATAACAATTTTTGGAATGTCATTTTACTTGTTATTTCAGGATAAAGAATTATAGTAGTGTTAAGCTATGATGAATTTTTTACGTAATAAAATAATTAAGACCAGGCTGACGTACACGTCGGAAAATATAACGAGTGTGATCATGTTAAGCATGCACATTGTTGTGAACACCGGGCACAAGAGTAACCAATTATATTCTCAACAGAAGTGAAGTCTATGACAAGAGAGCTGCTATATGTTGTTTTCATGGCATCTTATGACGCAAAAGATTTGAGTGAGCAATAAGTACCAATGTTCTTTTTGATTCTACAGAAGTGGTAGGAGACTTCATCCTAGCAAATAATTCCTTGATGAAGGTACTGTCATCCTTTAGCAAAGAAACAACCTGCAAGAAAAATATGATATAGTTTAGTTTCAAACTAGAAACAATATAAGTAGAGTTGAACCAACTTAATCAGGATCTTACAACTGCATTATTTGAATGAATAATAGAGTTAAAATTTGCAACTATGCCGTCATCCAAGGCTCTGGGTAAAATGACATCCTGGCATGAGCAATACAAATATAAATTTCGTTTCTTCAGATAAATTAATGAAGTACGTGATTTACAGTAAGAATTTATGAAACAACCTTCAGATAACCGATTCTGTAAGTCTGATGTATCTTCGAGAGGACTACAGGATCTTTAATGGGTATGGCCTACGTAACACCAAGCAAGACAGTGTAAATGTAAATGACTACCATTCAGCGCCACTTGGAAAAGGTTTTCTCCACCAACAACATTACAGGATGGTGGATAAGTGTGAACATAAAGGAAAATGTGGACATATTTACCTCCTTAAAAACCACATGATCCTTTAAAAAGTTACGATGATCAGCCTGAGGCACGTCAGGATCATCTGCAACAAAGTTCAAGCTAGTACCATTACCAACGATGCAGTTAAACATAGAAATGAGCAGGCTACCAACTGTAGCATTTGCAAGTCGTAATGCCTTAAAGACAATTTTAATGCCTAACGAAAAACCTACTGTACTCTAAAATGCTCCTGGAGTGCTAGTGAGGTTGGGCAACAAAATTATAGTTATAGAATACCCACTTTTAAATGGATAAATGGATCAATTATTGTGTAAGGAAGAGTAAAGGGAAGACTGATCTATAAAGTTAGAAGAAAAGAGAGTATGGAGAAGAGAGACAGTGCAACTTACATTCCAGGCATCCCATTATATCCATAATCAACTCATCCCCAAATATTTTCTCAAATATCTGTGAATTATTTAGAAAAACTGCAAGGATACAAAATCGTGTTAAAATTGATGTCAAGCCATAAGAAGAACAAAACCCAAGGTAAACTAAAAGTGTACTCACTGATCCCTCTGACAATTTTGAAAATCAAGTGCAGACCATCTACATTTTCTAAATCGTCGCATATCCTAAACAGGTCCATCAGCTTCCGAAAAAAATCTTGCTGCACACCCAACAGTTTCACTTAAATTAGCATCAACAAATACTTGGCACAAATACAAATGAAAAATTAACAAGACACCCTATACTAAGGGCGTGCTTGTTTATAAAAAAAACTAGAATTATTTTTTATCTCAATTCAAGATCTAACTCAACTTTAACTCAACCCCACTATCCTCAATATTATCAATATAATTAAATAATATCATTTAATCATATTCTTACACATCACATCAGGTTTCATTCACAGTTCATCCACTCACATAATTTTAACTACCTATCATTTCCAATATTTTCCAATCATTTATCTCCTACTTTTATATCAAATAAATTTAATTATTTTATTTTAAATATTATTTTAATACATTCTTAAATCCCACTACCAACTAGTCATACTAATTTTTTCAAATAAAATCTAGTTAACACAAAAAAAACCAAAAAAAAAAAATCAGTTTTCTTCTAGTTATTTTATAAACAAGCACACCCTAAGAGAACGGATAAATTAAGAAAGACAACAAAACTACACCCATGAAAACTGTACAATTCATTCAATACAAACAAAAAAAAGGGACATAAGAGGAATACTAATGCCCGAAGGCAACAGCTTGTCATTTATATCCAGATTCACTAACAATAAGAGTAGCATGCATAGTTTTAAATGGCGAATGGCGAGGCGAGGCGATTCACCCATAGCCTCGCCACGAGGCGAGGGGATTCGCCATGGCGAGGCCTCGGCAACACAAGCCATCGAAGCTCAAAATATTTTTATATAGATAGTAATATCATATATTTAAGTTTAAGTGCCAAAAAATAACCTTAAATATCCTCAAAGAAAATAATATAAATTAAATTTATTTGTAATTACTAAAAGCATCAAAAACTTAAATGTGAATACTAACATTACAAAAAAAAAAAATATTGAATTTGCACTGTGTAGTAACATAAAATAGAAAAATGTACACAAAATAGAAAAATGTTAAAGAGGGTAAGTAAAAAGTGTAAAATAAAAGTAAATGAAAAAAAATTGTTGCAAGTTGCACCCTTTCACCTTTGAATATTGACCATACTGGTAAACAACTAAACATAAATAAAGTAAAAAATAAAGAAAGAACAAAAAGAGAGACGGCAGAAACGGGAATGGGAAAACAGAGAAAAGGGAGAGGAAAAGGAAAAGGCATGCATCACCGACCGTCTTGGCGGCGAGATGGTGGCCGGAGTTTAGAGGAGGCCGAAAATGGATTGGTTGGCCGTGAGTTTCTGCAATTTTCAAATCTGAGAAGCCTAGGGAGTTTATTAGCAGAAACCCTAGTTTGGGGAGAAGCCATTTAGGGATTTTTTACTGAAGTTTTTTTGCTTTCGTATTCTCAGTCTAAAACCGTAGTTTTCAGTTCGTGTGTATTGGATATGAAGTGAAGAAAGACCCCAGATCTGTTTTAATGGACTGCGCCTTTAATTCCTCTGAAAGGCGCCGAGGCGCGCCTCACAGGCGCCTCTCGCCACGCGAAAAGGCGAGCCGAGGCGACCTGAAGCGAGCGCCTCGCGAACAGGGTCGCCTCAGGCAGTGGCGAGGCGATGTGGCCCTCGCCTCGGTCGCCTCGCCTCGAGGCGTCGCCATGGCGTCGCCATTTTAAACTATGGTAGCATGCACTTTTTCCAGAAACCCACCAGTTGCTCATAAATGACAAACTTCCACCACAAAGAATTTGAATTTTATGATGATAAAAGGAGTGCACATTAACTAAAATCTTCAACGAAAGAACAACTAAATGATAATAGTAATATAGGCCCACTATTACCAATGAACAAAAACAAATTCTGTAAAGTGCTACTTCAACAAATCAGGTGCACATGCACACCACCAACATGCCACCCCGACGATTCACTATGCTGAGGTACGTTCCCAAAGTAAGCGCTGTATATAATGAATAAATCATTATCCAACGTAATATATTGGAAGTACTTACGTCCTGCAATATAAGTTCAGACACCCGCGATTGATCTGCAAGACTACCTTCAATAATCTGTAAAACCAGAAACAAGAGTGAATAGTCTCTGTGCAATGAAAGAATGATGAAATAACAAGGGGCCTAAAGAAAAACACAAGAAAACAGTAGAAACGTTGGAGTACAAAGAAGTTGATCATCATTCCCATGAATAATGATAACTGCAAGCAAATTTACAGTGCATGATATTCAGGTGATATGGTGGAAGAGGTTTGCGCATATCAGCTGGTACCTTAAGTATCAACGGGAGAGTTGACAGTTCAACTGGTGGCAACTCCTTCAGCTCATTGGCAACGTTAGGGAATGTCTCACCTGAAGATTAGAACCTAGAAACATAAGTCACTACTCGCTAGACTTACGCAGTAAATATTAACTTTTCTAGGTGCAGCAACTCTGTGTCAGATCCCCGGGGTTCAGGAAAAATTACATTAATCAGTTGGGAGTTTGGCTTGAGCATCGGTGAAACAATATGGAAGAAAGCACTAAGTTCCATTACTTTGACAGCTAGCCAAATATATTTGTTGCCCAGATGCCAATTCTAGTGACACAATCAGGCGTATACAGCAATTCAAATTAATCCATAAAATTACATTCTTATGGCACAGTGGTTCCAATACATGGATAACATGTCCATATAACCTCAACCATTTCTGAAAAAATACAATGTATCATCATCATTGCTATCATCTTATGCACCAACTAAAGGAATTTACGAATAGAAAATCGAAGTACACACAATGACAAAAAGTACAAAAAATATTCTTCAGTTACATCACATTGCTCTCATTTATCAATTACTCGTTACCAATAATAACATATTTCCTTCCCGCTTCCCTCACAACTACCCGTAAAATATTCATTACCCTGAAACTGTTTCTAGGGAAGAGAAAATATATTTGATTAAGGTGAGGTGAAGCGCACAAGTTATGTGATCCTCCATGATTTTTTTACTTTTGTTGTCTCTGTTTCCATTACAAGATTAGAGAATGCATTCATTTTGTATCCTCATATTCCACCAACCTTCTGAAAATAAACCAGGTTCAGTTCAGTATCCAAAACATTGTGCATTTACATTTATTTTTCCATTACATCAACTTCTTACTCGAATCAAACCAATCAAATCCCAACTAGTCTCGTTCCAGGAATGGCTTCTTGGGGGACATATTTATGAGGGAAAAAAAAATCCAATAGTTTGTAAAGGAGAGGGCTGGAAATAAGAAGTCAAACACACAATGAAGATATGCAGAACCAATTACAGAAATAAATCCCTCTCAATAGAACTTACTGGTTAGAGAGGTAAATTGCAGATTCCTCTGCATAGTGCAAATTTGATCCCTGCATCGAGCAAATATGGGAACAAAAGAACAACAAATCTGAGCTTACAAATAAAATAGTAAAGGATAGAAAAATAACTTTGATCAAATAACACACTGTATTTGATACTAGCCATATGTAGGAGCAACCGGTTGTCTCTTGGAAGCTAAGGGCTAATTCAGTTGAAAATTCAGGATCCCTCCATGAGATAATTGTATCTGGAGTTGTGAAATGATATCATGATAAGAAACAGAAACAAGTAAAAAGCTTATTTAAATTAGAGGAAGTGATTGCAAATTATACCATCTTGCTTACGATAGATATCATTTGCACTGATACGATGCAACAACAATGTTTCATTATCCTCCTCGTCAATTACAAACAACCCAAGGTCTTCTGATCTCTGCACCAAAAGTAACAATGTTTCAATTTTCTAAAAAAATTTCAGTTGCGGGGAAAGGAGTGGATGGGTTGTCATACTTCCAGATAATCAACAGTGACATGGCCAGTTCCTTGATCATCCCATTTGCCATCCTCATTCAGTCTGTATACTTTTACACGCTGAAAGAAGAAACGACACACTTGAGAACTACGAAAATAAAATTTTACTGAAGTTGAACCACAATCAAGCTATTCAGTAATATCAACATTTAACAATGCATATAAAGAGAATCCCAACAAAGTAAAAAGCCATAAGAAACAATATAACTGAAATGCAGAAAACACAATGCATGGAGCGCTTGGAGGCTCGCTATCAACGTGCCAGAACCGTGACTTTTGCTCCTCTCTCTCTCTCTCTCTCTCTCTCTCTCTCTCTCTCTCTCTCTCTCTCTCTCTCTTCCGTTTATTTTATTTTATTTTATTTTATTTTATTTTATTTTATTTTATTTTTTTTATTTTTATTATTATTATTTTTTATTTTTTTTTCTTTCTTTCGATCTCTTCCTTTTGGTTCGAGTCTTTTTTGTGTTTCCCTTGGGTTTCATCTCTAGCCTACCCCGACTTGCTTGGGACTAAAGGCTATGTTGTTGTTGTTGTTGTTGTTGCAGAAAACACAATGCATGAAAGGTCAATGCTGCCAAGAGTAAAAATGAGTCCGAAAATAGAGATACTAAAGTGCTACCAACACATTATAATAAGCATGACGAACAGAAAACATGAGTCTAGATCATCTTGAGTGCAGCAGCTATAATATTTCAAAATCCATGAACAGCAACTGATCTTGTCTAACAAATATGAAATTAAAGATGGGTTATTTAACTCAGCCAAAATTAAGCGAGCAATAAATTAAAATATCTTGCCATAACGAGAGTGAAACCATTAATTAAAGGGAGGGGAGGCTAAACATGTTAAATAATGCTTACGATAGACCAAATAACCTTTATGAACATCACAGCCTTAAATGAACCATTGTTGATACATACTAAATAACTCTTAATTCTAAAGCTGTTCTTTCTCAATTATTCCCTCCTTCATCTTCACTCAAATTTGGGCAAGACCACCTTAGTGACATACTGGCATTCGAAGGATAGAAATGGAATTCCTCTTTTACAGCTTCACTCGAGTACTTAAGTATAGCACGTATGGTAAACCAATGTCTCCGTTTCATTATATTATCGAGAAGATCTTAACTGCTGGAAAATCAGTATTCTTACATCATGTACAAATTTAATGACCAACTCCAAAATGTAGAGAAAGGACAAACCAGCTACTTTTACCACCGCTTACCGATTTAAGCATTGTACAACATTCAAAGCAAAATAATTTCAAGTTGAAGTACAAAGGGAAATGATGCCAGCAGCAGAAACTGAAAGAAATTGACATTTAAAAGTAAGTATGTTCATTATTAGTAGGTACTAGAATGTAGTTCTTACTAATTGTTTACTGCTAGTTTAGAAGCCTTTCTCAAATGACTCTTTCATATAAAAGTCCATTTCAATATATAATTTATGTGTCACAATTAGATTCTTAGAGATAAGTCTCATCTCAAAAGGTCCAATTTAGAGGAATAGGATCTGAAAACTATTTGAAAACTCATTTTCCATAAATTAAGTCCATTTTCTAGAAGGGATTTTGCAAAAGTGCTCCCACAAGCACTAACATTTTAACATGTCCATAATTTTTTGTCAAAGAATTCTCAATGTTTAGTTTGTTGTACCACTTATACATGTAGCATATAATAGGTATCAAACTTCATGGAAATTTGTATGTGAATTATGAAAAATGCGAAGAAAATTACCCAAAGTCCATTCAAAGACAATTAGAGCACAATACATAATCCAATCTAGATTAGTTCTGTGTTGTTTTAAGGCTTCAAATCTATTTCAAGAGTGGAATTCCATACAGCTATTACACAGCAAAGAACATTATATTCGCGGGAAAAGACCAGGTTCAGGAAATAATCCCAAATGACCAAATGTGTTGTCTCAAAATCAAAATAAGACCTTAAGGCGCTTAGTGAATGCCAAAATCAGAACCAATCATATAAATATCCGATTTTAAGCCCATAATGATTGAAACATTCTAATAATCCCCACTAAACTGCAAAAAATAAACATTTTAATAAACAAGTACGGCCTTAAATCAACTCAACCCTTTTAACAATATAAAATACAAGTACAACTAACTAGTGACCGCTTCAGCAAAAACCTTAGAACTAACGTGAAAAAATAAAAGGTTCCAAAACACAATCCCAAGTCTAGAATACAATGATTTCATTTCTTGTTGCTGGTTTACTTCAACTCACTCTCACTCAAAACTTGTGATACAAAACAACACAAATCAAACAAGTGAAGCTTCAGGAAAAGATTAAGAACCAAATTTGAAAACTTGAAAGAGTTAAATAAAACAATAGGTCTAACGAAAGAGAAATTTGTTATTACTTGCTTGTGTGCTTCTCCTTTACTGACCTGCATGTTATTGCTGCCGGAGTTTGGGGATTTATCCTGTGAACCCATGTGAATAACCTAAGAGCTCAGCCTCGTCACCAAGTTCACGTAATTCACCGCACGGAAAGAAGCCTCTGAACTCAAATCGCCGTACCACCAAAAGCAGAATTAGGGTTTTGAAAGAAAAAAAATAGACGAGGGGATGAGATTTTTCTACGAAAAAGCATCAAAATGAAAAGTCATACGGGTTGGGTCACTATATCCATATCAACGAGAAACCCTAACTGCCATTGATATCAGACTAAGTGAAACGCTCCCCCGCTATCTCCCTCTCCTCCTCTCTTTCTCTCTCTCTCTCTACTTTCTTTTTCTTCTATTTTCTGTGAAGTATTTTCTCAAAATTGCCCGACCTTTGAAAACAGTAGGAGTTAGTGAACCAAATGACGACATTACCCTCTTCTGGCTGTGAAGTTACTGTTGTGCCACCCCGCCATATTTCTTTCGCTCCTTGTGACGCTTTACGCGCTCCTTTACTAGTCAAAAAAAGACTCAAAACGCAATCGCTTGTTCTCATTTTTTATGGATTTTTTTCTTCTTGCAAAATCCAATTTTGTTTGGTACTGCAAAATAAGAATGCATTTGTTTATAGATATATCATAAAAATCTCAATTCAAAATATAACTCAATTTTAATCAACTTCATTATGCTTAATATTATCATATCCGGGAGTTGGTACCCCAACTCCTCTCTCTAGCGCTCAAACGCCTCCCTTTGGTGCCACAACACCTTGATCATGGCGTTGCGCCTGTCGTTTGTGGCATCATTCTATTTTAGCTGCATCCCTTAGAAATTGTATTGATCTGTTGATACCAACTGACGTAGCAAAAACATAAAAGATTGTGCCAATCGGGAGCGGGGCGCTCTGCATGTTCCCGACTGCATCCACCGTTCATTACCCCGCGATCACCATGTCCCCCTTTCGGTGCACAGTTCGTTTGTTTGCCATGAAAAGTGGTACGTAGAGCCAATCATATATTCTTGATCACCGCAATCAGATATGCAATTTGAGGACCCACTACATTGAATTGGCGGTTGAAGCCCACGGTCAGATTCGCAACTTGTCGCCACAAAGCGTCGATGGCGGCATCATGTCTGTCGTCTACATTATCGTTTCTATTCAGCAGCATCGTGAATCGTCAAGTATCTACCTCCATCGGATATTGACTGACGTAGCGAAAGCGTAACAAAAGAGATAAAACATGAGAAAGACTCAAATATCTTTATTTATAAATTCAACCAATTGAAACACAAGAGAATATGAGTCTTTAAATAGAACTTCTAAACAACACTAACAAGAGTTCAATTTAAAAATGAGGACAAGATATCTACTTTCGCTACGTCAAGTGGTCATCTACCTCCATCGGACCAAGATGTCCAATGGATACCATCATTTGAATTCGCATAAAGTTAGTACGCCAAAGCCTAAGGTGCCAGAGATATGTTTGACTCATCTCCCACTGCAATAGCTTCCGCCTTTGTGGCGTTTCTCATATAGACGGTAATCTCCCCATCCCTAAGTTATTTGGTTTCTTGGAACCTCGCGATGAACTGCAGACATGATCAAAGCAACAAGAAACATTTAACCTAGCAGCAGAGGACAACTAACCTAGCAAGAAGAGACAACTAACCTAGCAACAAGAAATATTTAACCTAGCAGCAAAAAAATAACTAACCTAGCAACATCAGACAACTAACCTAGCAGCAATAGACAACTAAACTAGCAACATCAGACAAATATGCAAGTATATAGAATAAAAATATACAGCAATATTTAAATCATATGAAGAGTCGTGTATTTTTGTCGGGTAGTTGTAACGGCTGACTTCATATAAACTGGACAAAATTAGGGTTATACTGTACTGCATTGTCAAAAGCTAAAGACTTTCCTACCGCCCGTCTTACCCAAGAAGATCACATCACAAAGTTCAAGGTGAAAATCTTCTACAATTTCTACCTTCAATCTTTATAATACGAATTAAAATCTCTGTTAATTTTCTAAAATTTCTACCTTCAAATCTTTATAACATACTACAGAAATATGGATGCCATGGATTTCGATAATATATACTCACTGCCATGCTTCAGGAAGAATGTTGAGCCCAGGGTTCGCTACTATATGGTAAAGTTCTTTGTTTTAATTCTTCTTTTAATAGTGCACTGTTACATATAAAAAAGCACAGTTT